AGGATTTATCTTTTGGCTTAAATAATTTCACTTTATCTTTTCTCTACACTTTAATGATACGACAATATCGTAAGTAGGACAGCTAATTTCATTGCGGTATTTAACATAAAAAGAGATCCATCAATGCGAAATGCATTATATATAGCCTTTACAAATGTAATAATTCTAATACTATTCGAAGATTATATTTGGGCAATAAGGGGGACTTTATCCCACTTCTGATGTAGGAAGTATAGTGGGTATAGTACAGAGACTGATTTTGTAGTTAGGAATAATAATTAATTCGTTTAGACGAATTAATTATCCAACGAGTCGAGGATAAACTAGTAACGGAATACGACAAGCGCACAGTTCCACGTCAGAGCCAAGACTGCCTTAACGGCGGCCGCTCAGTCCGTTTTATACAAGCAGGACGGGCGGCAACGCAGGTGCAATGCCGCAGGTGTGCGGTACACGTGTTGTTTACAAGAATTCTGTCTAGCTAGACCGACGCCACCGCATCTACAACGGTGCAGGTGCCGTCATATATAAAAATATTATATATATATATATATATATATTGTGTAAAAAAAAAACGAAATGTCATGTTCTGATTTGCTCTACGGTCCAATGGTTGTCGCACAAACTATATAGAAACACTACGCGTTCAGACAGACGTCTCTGGTACATTTAGTTTGTACCGTAGAGCAAATCAGAACACGACATTTCGTTTTTTAAATATGAATTGTATATAGGCAAAGGAATAATTTTATTTCAGCCTAGTATAATATATACAGAGATATATATATATATATATATACATACACAATATATATAGATATATATATATATATATATATATATATATATATATATATATATATATATATATATATATATATATATATATATAGGTACATACCTATATAATATTTCATTGATACCTAAGATAATTAAGTACATTGATTTTTGATAGAAGGTTGGGAGGATAAAAGTATTTGTAAAGTAGCCAATTATCTATTGGAGTCCATGTTCATGTTCTACTGCGGGGCACAGACTCTGTGTCATTTCTCAGAGGGGTATGAAACAATGAGTTGGGCAAGGTGCTTTTTAAAAAAAAAAAAAAACTTTACCCCCACACTAGGATTTTCTCCTGTATTGTGGAGGCAGTTTACAAACATATATTGCACAAGGACAAACATCCAGACCCGGAACAATTATATGTAGGCCGTACAAATACTCGTTCCGTGCGGGATTCCAACCCGCGGCCCCAACCGTTGCAACTCATTGCTAAGCCACTACGCCACGGAGCCGGTGACCACATCTTTAAAATATTTTTATTCCTTAGACACACAGATTTTGTCACAATATTCCAGAACATGATAAATTTGCACTTAAAATTGGAATTAACATTAATTCATTTATTTCAGTGGTGTAGACAGAGATCAGATTTGCTCAAAAATATAAACATATTACTAATCCTAACAAAAATATCATATGAACTAAAGTTTTAGAATGGTGATTGTTTTGCAATTTAAATTTTACATGTTCATCATTTAGTTTATCTAACAAGCACAATTGAGTATGCTTGCAGTCTGTTTAGTACACATCATCTTGCCATTTTAATCCATTTTCATCAGTTATTATGTGTTTTGATAGCAAAATTATTCCTCATACCTTTTTTATAATGGCTGATCAAATATCACACTAAGTTTATTTGAACTGTATCATCTGAAATAAAAACATAAAAGATTGTTTGTCATTGTCATTCAGACAGCCTTGATTTTGTAATTTGTGTGCGATTGTGCATAAAATAATGTTGACAATTAATTATTTAAATAATAGAATTCCTCATTTAATTCAGCCATCAACTTAAAATTTTAATAAATTATTATATAAATAATTTATTATTATGTTTCATTCATCATTCATTCATTGCAGACTATCATAAAGCTACTGGTAAACATAGGCCTTCATAGGTTATCGTATAAGGTGTACATTTTCCATAGTTGTAAGACTTGGCAGACAAGTTGGCAACCAGTTTATTATTATTACTAAGTTGTTATCAAAGAGATCACTTGAAATGCCAGGAATTAAGTAGTTTTAGGCTTAGCTTTCCATTGACGTCAGTGGAGTTTGGTGTTGATACGTATTTTTACAGAAAGATTACACTATTATAAGCACACACACAAAGTCTTAATATACGGAAACGCGTAATTTTCGAGAAAAGAATAATTGAAAATCAATTATTCTTGCAATGTTTATGTCTAATCTGCTAATAAACTGGCGCCATTTTGTAATGTCATTGTCGACGTCAATAGGGATGTCGATTCTCTCCGAAAAAGGTCGATTTTTAAATCGATTCTAATCGTAAGCTGATGTATCGGTTCCCAAAAAATCGATTTCTAAAATATGGATATTTTTTTAATGTTTCTATTTATAATGTAAATATAAACCCATTTTATGAAAAACAAGAAAGATACCATGATAAATGATCTCTTATTGAAATTTGTTTTATTTAACAGTACCTATTAGGGCAGATAACAAATAAAATAGGTTAGGTTCAACTTATGTCAAAGAACCGAATTGATTGACCCCGACTCCACCTGGTACGAGTCTGTCCTACCCCTAGAGTGGTTTCATAGAGCCGGAGGCGCGTAGGGGGAGCAGCCTCCGCCTCGTCTCCGCAGCTTCGGCTTGTTGGTCGCCTTCGGCGACCAGCCTCAGCCGCTCCGGCTCGTCCGATGCTTACGATTTGTTACGCTAAGGCGTAGAGGTTGCTCTTCCCGCAGCGCCGGAGACGTAGCAGTCTCAAAATAGATACAGAAATCCTTATGAATCAGTCCCCTTATTTTTCTATGATGAAGGGGATTTTTTTCTCATAAAATGGATTTATATTTACATTATAAATGCAAACATGAAAAAAATATCCATATTTTAGAAATCGATTTTTTGGGAATCCACCGAATACATCAGCTTACAATTCGAATCTATTTAAAAAATCGATCTTTTTCGGAAAGAATCGACATCCCTATTGACGTCGACAATGACATTACAAAATGGCGCCAGTTTATTAGCAGATTAGACATAAATATTTTTTAATTTTTATTAATTTTCGTATATTGAGACTTTGTGTGTGTGTGTTTATAATAGTGTAATCTTTCTGTAAAAATACGTATCAACACCAAACTCCACTGACGTCAATGGAAAGTCGTACCAATATAATAAAGCGGAAGAGTTTTTTTGTTTGTTTAAACGCGCTAATCTCTGGAACTACCAGTCAGATTTGAAAAATTATTTTTGTATATTATAGCCAGATTCATGTGGAATAGTATAGGCTATCTAGCATTAAGCTTTATCACTCAGCTAGCCTTAAATATGGATATTTGTTATGCAAGTCAGAAGAAAAAGCACTCCCGAAATGATTTATCCGCGTACGCTGGTGTTATCGTTAGGGATACGTAAATACAACGTTTTAGAAAAATATAGATCTTTACTCCGTCTAAAAAAAGTCTGAGATACCATATGTCTATTTCTTATACATGAGCCATAATTAGGTATTTTGTGACAAAAAAATAATGAAAATTTAAAAGTGATTTATGAGCGTTATTATTAGGCATGGCCTATTTATCCTTACGAACGAAAATTACTTCATCATCAAGACAATTTTATGAAGATAAACTTTGTTCTTTATACCATGTTATTTGGACGCATAGTTTAAGAGGTAATGTAAAATTAAAATAATTCAATACTTGGCTGGGCGCGCGAACGACGCATAAACCCTAGCCCGGTGAGAACGTGAGGGGGGGGGGGCGGATGCTCAACTGGGAGGGGGAGGGAAAGTGGATAAAACTTACCTTCACTCTACATTATACATAATATGCCGACAGATAAAAGTACCCATTAATTATGCCAATTTTTCCATCCATTGCTATCAAATAAAATATTTAATTACAATTATAAAATGTTTGAACTAGGTCATGTCGCGCACCACCGACACGTGATGACGCGGGTGAAACCGCGGGGCACAGCTAGTACTGAATATACTGAGCAGTTATGTTTATTAAGGAATAATTAAATGTACATACCTTTGTCATCTTTGATGATAAACCTAACTCAATTTACTCCAAAGAATAGTGTTGAGTTTATCCAAACTTTTTTAGCCTTATTAATGTCAGATTTAGCAGTATGAAACACTTTATTCAAAAATTTTGTGACCAAGCAGGCTTCTTGAAAAGGTTACTGGAATGCAGCGTACTTTTAAGTTTGTCACAGTTTATAAAGTCCAACCACTTGTTTCTTTGGCCTTCGTCAGACTCTTCTCTGTTACTTGCACAATTGGGAATGAAACACTTAAAAATAGATTTTAAAATTAAAAATTATATACAAAATACACTAAAGCTAAAGAAAACGTCCCGTCGAAATATATAACCTATTAAACAATAAACAACCTTTAGTGAAATAGCAGTAAAATGCCAATAAAACTTTATTTATAATTTATAGTTAGTTCATACTTCATAGAAAAACAAAATAAAAATTTCCAAGAAAACTTCTAACTTGACAGTTACGCGACAATAACATGACAAAATGGCGGCAGCGAGAAGGGGCAAGAGGTGGGAGGGACGAGGGAAACGTCATGTTCTGATTTCAGAACTTCTGAATTGCTCACTGCATTTCATACGGTCAAAAATTTTTGCTCAAAGATTACCAGCCGTGGGTTGTCGCCATTTTCCAAAAATGTTCTTTGCGAGTTTAGTTGTTTGTTGCACAAAATGAGTAATTTCAACGATATTTTATTTGAATTAACACCACCGGAACTCAGTATAATTGCACAAAATGCTTCGGAGAACATTTTACCGGAAAAGTCAAAAAGTCGCTACGTATCTACATACGACGAATTTATTGCGTGGAGAGAAGAGAAAAAAGCAAATACGAGTAGTTTTTCAGAAAATGTTATGTTGGCATACTTCTTCGAACTCTCAGCAAAATTAAAACCTTCTACGGTATGGTCGAGGTTTTCGATGATAAAAAGTATGCTGAAAATAAGGAACAACGTGGATATAAGTGAATACCCAAAACTAAATGCTTTCTTAAAACGACAATCAGACAGTTTTACAACTAAAAAGTCGAAAATATTAACATCGAGTGAAGTGGAAAGGTTTTTGAACGAAGCTCCCGATGATCGTTATTTAGCCACAAAGGTAATTTATTAATAAATGCTTATATTTTTCTTTAGTATTCAGTTTACGAAATCGCAAAATACAGACAATATATTATTTAAAAAAATAATCAAATTCCTTTTTTTGTAGGTTGCGCTGATTTTTGGCGTTGTTGGAGCTTGCCGCAGAGAGGAGTTAGCCAATATTACTTTAAAAGATATTGAAGCCCATGGAAAAATGCTACTAATCAAGGTTCCGAATACAAAAAATAAGATACCGAGAAGCTTTGTTGTTGAAGGAGATATTCTTAGAATAGTGCGACCATTTTTTCCGAAATTATCAAAAAGGGAAGTGTACAGCTCAAGCAATCGGAATAAATAAATTTGGTAATATGCCAAAAGAAATAGCTACGTTTCTTGGTCTGCCGGATGCTGCGTATTATACTGGGCACAGCTTCAGGAGGACCTCTGTTACATTATTGGCAGATTCAGGAGCCAATTTGACGTCCTTAAAGCGACTAGGAGGTTGGAAGTCAGACTAAGTTGCAGAAGGCTATATTGCTGATTCATTAAACAACAAACTAGAAACTGGGAAAAAAATCACACAATCTATTAATTTTAAAGTCCAGTTCGTCTCCTTCACATGACAATACTGAAGAGAACGTTCGTCTATCTACCTTCGTTGATAATGATAATTCATCAGATCCAATTCCATCAACTAGCAAACGCCATTGTATAACACCTTTGACAAATATACATGAACAATCATATGAAATTAATAATAGTTTGTCTCAAACAGTAAATATGCAACCTAAAACTTCCCCAGTTAGTATAAAAAACTGTACCAATTTCAATGTATATGTGAATTATAACTTTTATAAGAAATAAATGATTAGTTAGTTGAGTTTATTGTGTTTTTTATTAAATTGCTTCATTTTTTCGCAACTGTATTAAAAATAGTTGTTCAGTACACGTGCGGAACCATCATTGCAACTTGTTCCGACTGTCAACCCTCACCTTCGGCTGCGCCTCGGCTCGGGTAGACATTTGTCGGAACTCTTTGCAATGACAGGTTTTCCGCACTCTTAATGAAATACACTATATACTGAAGCCTAAATCATAATCATATTTTAGTTGTTAATTTTTCAGTATTTCCGTTAGATACGAAAAAACTAATATTACTTTTGCAATCTATAGGTTATAAGGAATAAATCGACATGTGTTTCATTAAGTTACGCCACAATTTGTGGTGGGCCCATTCTCCATACAAAAAGAAATTGTCTTGTTTGGGCGGTTATTGCAAAATAAGCGTGTATACATATCGCACCTTCATTTCGAAACTCTTACAAAACAAAAAAACCAAATTTTGCAGGAGAGCTAATTTACGATTTTCGCATTACTATATACCTCTTAATCAGAAGTAATAAACACATTATGAGATATTTTTGAGATTATTTGTTAAATTATTGGTTTCTTTTTAACCGGTTCAATGCGGGTGACACGCCAGGCGTGCCATCGATTACTTTTATGTGTGGCGTATGAAACGCGAGTCAGGTCTTTTTTAAATCGTTATAACTCGCTCAAATTGATTTTTTGGAAAATTTATCCAGAACAAAATATTCATTATTTTGCGAGTAGTTCATGCATGCAGCTTCGTTCTGGATATTTTGAAAATTTGAAATTTTTAGAGGTTGACAACCTTTTTTTAACGTGTACATGGTACTATTTTTACTTTGTTGGTTTTAAATCATGTTATGGAAAAATTGTCTAATAAGTAACAAATAATAGCACTCATTGCGATCGCTCACAAACTCAAGTTGTAAATAAATTTCTGGAAAACAAGTCTCCTGTTAAAAAAAACAATGCGTTTGTCTTATTGTTTAATTTTGCTTAAAATGGTTGAAGTGCCGTCTTATTACTATCATATGGCCGAATAGACCTACGAAGTACCATGTGCTCTTGTGATATGGTATAAGGTTTATTTTTGCTTGAAACAGTTCGAAACCGTTCATGCATAAAAAAAGTTCGCTAATAGGTTAATAGTTATTTGTCAATCCGCCGCCGTATAGCGCCGGTTTTTTTTTTCTTTTGAAAACACTTGTTTTGCTATTCTTACCTCTTATGGCTCCAGTACACGTTGGCCGAGTGTTCAGTTCATAGTTACGCGTCGGAGTAGACTAGTGTCGGCTTAATAAAATTGTTTCACGAACATGGCGACATGGACTAATGAGGAAATATTTAGGTTCATTGATTCTTATCACAATATATCAGTTATATGGAACCCCAAACTTGCCTAACTGTATTAAATAATACATGTTTAGTTGCGATTTCAGAGTACCTACCTGATGATAAATATTACTATAAATTATCTCTGAGTTTATGTTGCTCAGGGATAATGTAGCTTAGGGGCTTCATTTAGGCTATCTTTTATTTTGAGAAAACGCCCAACCAAGCGGGCACGGGTCAGCCAATAGATCCCATAAGGGTTTCTTTTTTCCTTTTGAGGTCGGAACCCTAAAAAGGACAAACTGGGATTATTGTTGTATGTGTAGTGTATGTACATATAGAATACTCAGCATCCACCATCTTCTTTTGCGCCATTTTTTTAATCACTCTTCTCTGGTGCACATCTAAATAAAATCTGAAAGCGCTGTACAAGTATATTGGCGCGGCCGCGATCGCCCTAACGTCCATCATCATCTAGCTACCAATGCATGAAAATCTGCCGAGCGCGCTCACCAAGCGCGCTTTGTCTGTGGCGCTTGACACGCCCGACGTGTCATGAAATATTTGTTCGCCGCCACAGCTAAAAGTTGTCGAAAATTGGTGCCGCAACGAATCGGTTAAGATGTGTACTCATTTTAATTTAATATATTCTATAATTATTTTTTATAATCATTTTAATTTTTATAATAACACTTTTGTATTAATTATTTTTTCAATTATGGTTCAATTATATAAACTTAGTATAAAAACAATGTTACTATATTAAAAATCAAATTCTAGCTATTATATGAAGTATGAACTGTTAAAATATATTTCAAAGGTATATTATGCACAGGTCAATTAAAACATAATAATTCAAATTAATATTTATTAAAAAAAAACTTAAAATAGTACTCTTATGGCAATTAAACCAAAAATGTTAGTCCCCAAACATTAATATCTTACAATAATAAATCAATCAATGTTTCTTTTGCATTTACGTGTGCAAGAGGTACTCACACTTGGCTGCTGAATTGGACCAACTTCTTACAAACCTCGTGAGCCTACTGAATTGAATTAAATTCTTGCACTACCTCGTGTCTCAAAGCTTTGACATGTACTTGCTGCATACCATACCATTACCATGATGAAAAGAAGATCTAGATAAAGATGTTGAAACACGTCGTGTAGATGCAACTGGTTCTACGTAGTCAGGATCGTTATCTGCTTTATCAGGAGATAAGTCCTTATTTGATCGCAAAAAGAATGCAAAAACATTTACAACACACTCAAGCACACAACAAGAATAAATTAGGTATAACTTTAGGTACCTACCTGAAGATTTACTTGATGATGACGATGAAGATGTGCTAATTGACGAAGATGTACCAGAGCTAGAAGAATCAGACCTTGGTTTACTACTAGGTAGACAATTTTCTGTCGCTATGACAAACAAACCAGTTTCACTCATAGATGTCACCGGCATCATCAGATTTTCTGGATGTACATTATTAACACCCACTACTACACTATTCAATTCAGTAGGCAAGGACTGTACATTTATTTACATAACATAATATACAATATTTTATTATATACAATATTAAAAACTGTAATAATAAAAACTTAAACTAGTAACTTAATTAACATACAGTCCTACTCCCCGTGGTATCGTGCCAAAAACGCTGGCTGCGTTTCCGCGCTGAATGGCTATGCTTAGCTATTCAGCTTATTAAAATAAATTAACAATTCATTTTTAATTAAATTAATTTTACATTCATGACGGAAAAAATTCTTTCCGTAATACTTGCTTGTTCCAGACTTCCAGTCACAGTTAATATGAAAAAGCACGACAGTTGAATTAGGGATAAATAAATATTATTTTTCGTGCTATATTATTTTTCCATAATGTATAGTACAATTGACAGAAATATAGTACGGTACTATATTAAATTTCCTTTCTCGGTATACATATGGATACATTTTGTAACTGGAAAACCCACATAGAAAAAATATGTAATAAACTTAACCGCTTTGTTTACATATTACGGAACCTTAGAAAGACGGCATCGCAATCAACAGCTCTTATGGCGTATTACGGATACGTTTATTGTATACTTAGCTACGGTATAATAATATGGGGAAATTCTGTAGACATCAATAAAGTTTTCATTGCGCAAAAAAAATGTCTACGTGCAATATATAATATGGCCCCACATGAATCGTGCAAACCAATATTTATAAATTTAAAAGTGTTAACACTTCCTTGCATATACATCCTTGAAACAGCAAAATTTGTGAAAAATAATTCTGAGCTGTTTACAACTGCTGGAGATATTATCAAGTCCAAACCCTTAAGGAATCCAGATAAATTAGTCATTGATAAAATACCAAAAACAGTAAATTATCATAGAAATTGCTATGCAATGTGCATAAAAGTGTTTAACGCAATACCCAATAATATAAAATTACTACCAAGGAAGCGTTTCGGGAACGAGTTGAAAAAGTGGCTTGTTAATAAATCTTTTTATTCGGTTAGCGAGTTGTTGGAAAAACAATAATTATCTTTATTTTTTTTTTAATAATAATATTTTGGTAATTATATATTATAATGTAACATGAAATTATAAATATTAATGATATGATAATGCAAATAGTAGTAAATGTTTTTTTTTTTAATTAGGTCACATTATTTTTTGTTTTTGCTATTTCTTATGCAATGTACGTATTTTTTTTGTAATTTTTCATAAATTCATAATGTCATACTTAATGTTTATAAAATTCAATAATTTTGTACACCAGAAATGGTTAATGTGTTGTACTATATTTTCTATAACAACTGTAAAACACACACATTATGCAAAATAAATAAATAAATAAATAAATAAAAAAAAAAAAAATATATATTATACTACAGGCGGCAACCCTAGTGGTAACCGTCACCAACCAGAACTTAAACAAACGGTGCTTAAGAAAGCACAAAGTCGTTCAGCGGTCTATTCACACATGCAAACACAGATATAAGATATACGTGGTAGAGCCATGCTGCAACTATATTAGTAGTATAGTTGTAGCACGAATGGGTCGGCTCGACCGGGGAAGGGCCACGCTCTCACAGAATACCAGCGTAAAATAGCAGCTTAATGCTGCTGTGTTTCTTATGGTGAGTGTAGAGAA